ATAAATGAAATATTGAGATGCAACGGTTGGCTCTTCGCCGAATCAAATTTCGAAATTTGAATTTGAGATAGGAGCGGGACTACGGATTCATTCTCTCATCTTTTTTTCAGAATCTGATAACATTTCTGGATGAATAAGGAATATGATTTTCAAAAAGGATCCCTCAACTTAAACAATTTTGCAAAACAAGTCCCAAACTTTTAATTGGACTAATAAATCTCATTATTAGGTTATCATGATATCCTCATCTAAATCATGTGTCCCATCATATTTGACTCTAAATGCAACACCTACCGGTTACTACCATAAGAAAATTATTATCATTTTTTTATTTGTGAATTTAGTTTCTATTGAAATTTATGTGATTACTACAACCTTTTATGTATTGAAATTAATTTGATTACTACAACATTTTATGTCATTGCAGTTATCGTAGTTTCTTTATGATAGTTGGAATAATATTGAATAATTTTATCAAGACTCAAGAGTAACAAGAATATCAACATTAGTTTGAGAGGTAACAACTTATATGGTAGTTGTAATTGTGTTGGTAGTTTCGTCAGATTCATAGACTATATAGTAATAACATATTTATCAGTTGATGAAGCAATGGTTCCACAATAGTAACTTTAACAAATTATCTTGATGTTAATTTACATATCTGATTCAAAACAAAACAAAAATTGAAAAATGAATTGAAAAACAATTTAGATCCAAAATCCGGTTTTTCTGCTCTAATATCACAATCACGAATTGGCCCAAAAACCACCATTAATCTTCTCTTAACGATATCGATTCTCTGTTTGGTTGGTACGAATGCAATTTGGAATCCAAAACTGATGCATAACCTGTATAAACCTGTAAAATTTCAACGGATCAGAGCCATCCCGATACGAAATACGAATGATTGTCTCACCTGGCTCTTTACAAAGAATGGCTACTACTTAGTCAAAACTGGACACTAGTTCATTTCATTCCATCCTTTGGTACCTAACACACCCTCCCCCCCCAACGGATTAAGAACAAACCCATACAAAGATTAAAAAGAGAATTTGGAAGTGCAAGACATTGCCGAAGATCCAAATGATTTTATAAAGAGCTATTCAGAAGTCTTGGCGGTTGAATATCAATTACAGTCGAGAGATTTAAATGTGGATTCAAGATGCAAGTTGTGTCAACAAGCAAGATAAACTATAAGTCATGTAATGCTCTAATGTTACCTAGCTCAACAGTTGGTTCTTTTAACGAATATCGATGTTGTGACAACTAGGTTCGAAAAATCGATTGAAAAAAAATGCCACATGCATGTTGGACTTGATGGCGAATGAAACAATATAAAAAACTATTCGAAGTTCAATTCCTTTGCAATTGTGGACAACATGGAAAAGCCGCTACTCGGTTCTATACGCCGGAACTCATGAAGCTTTTGCAATTCTTTCACAACAAACCTGTTAGGAAGCCAAATTGTGGCATACAATGAACTGTGCGAATGAGAGTACCAACCGGAATATCTTTTCGACGGTCCCCCTCTTCAGATCAATGGTAACTTCCTTTTTTCAAGGCTCGATCAATGCAATGTGAATGCAAATTGGAGAAATGTTAGATTACTCAATGGAGGTGCATGGATTGTGAGGGAACCCTCTAGTCATGTGCTATTTCAAGCAAGGGAAGCTTTCACTCCATCGCATAATAGAAACATAGCGGAGTTTTGAAGCATAATATGGGCGATGCAGAGCATCCATGATCTCCGGCTACATGATGTCATNATCAGCTTTGACTGTCAAGCGGTTGGAGATGTTTTATCTTCGGCGGAATGGCCGTGATACATGTTTTTCTTGGATAAGATTTTCCGACTCCATGTTGCATTCCAACACTGTGTTTTTGAATTGATAACGCAACGAGCGAATGGAATTGCTCGAGATAGTGCAGAAAGTGTATTGCGTGATGGAAGATTTCAATCTTACTTAGCGATGGGAGGCGCGACATAGCTCCATAATCGATTATCCCGAAAGACTTTGTAGTTAACAACTATTAGTCCTTATCATTAGGCTTGTAACGCTATTTTATTTTATTTGTTTGAACTTTGAAGTCTCTTTAGTTGTGGTTTGGTCTATGTTTTGAGACAAAATTAAACTCATTTTTACCATATTAATTTTTGTTAATGTCATTCGCATAACAATATATAATTACTCTATTATCGTGACCGCGAGACATCAACATCTTAACAAAATTACATACCAAATAAAATAATATATCAGGAATTATAATTCTACTTGCCAAGAGATGATTCAACCCAATATTCTAATCATATATTATGAGCCATCATCAGAGACCCTAAACTAATGTATTAGACCATAACGAAAAAATGAATTTCAAAACATAAAATTTGGAACGCAATAAAAAAAGTCAGACATGTTTGCCAACGACTTCCTCCAGCCACGCGTGTGACGGCGCGTGCATTTCACTTCCTTAAATTGCCTTTCATTTGTCTTTAATCCAATCTGAAACCGCCAAAATCCTTCCTCTCAAATGTCTCTCTCGCTTCCCTCTTCTTCCTCCGCTGCTGCGGCGGCTGCCGCGTCGACGTCGGGTTCGTCGTCTTCTCCGGCGGCCAATTCGTCTTCCTCCACGACCACGTCCTGGTTCTCCGGGATCGTTCGTGGCCGCGGTGATAAATCCGGCACCGCGAAGCTATCTAAAAGCGCTTCCATGGCTTCAGGTGGAAGCGGAGATTACGGTGGACCCATCAAAGGGAAGAACCAATTTCGCGGAGTATTATTCAAATACGGTCCCAAATCCATTCAGGTTCTTTTCGATTTCCGATTTGTTAATTGCATTGCTTTTGAGTTACTTCGAAGCAAAAGGGGGAAATTCTATTTTATGTTGATCATGTTAAGTAAGATTCGTTGGAGCTTTGTCGAATCGTTGACAATCAGATTTTAGATAATTTAGGATCAAAGTTTCATGCCATGGGAGATCTCGATTTCGTGTTTTACATCAAGTGAGATGATTCTAGTTGACCACTTATAGGAGCAGTGATCAAAGTGCACAAAGACGGTCCATTTCTGAATATTCAGCATGAATCTTGCATAAACCTTGTTATGTGAATCTACTGGTTTTCTAGGCTAGATTTCTGGTAGTAACAGCTTCCTTGTCTGTATAAACAGGTGGCTTTCAAGACCGGAGAGTATAAACAACAAGTCATATTCATAGGTGGATTAACCGATGGACTTTTAGCTACTGAGTACGTGGCCATAAGTTTGCAGTTTTCCTGTCGAATCTCATATTTTCCATGTATATTGATTGATAGAACATTCATAAATTGGCTGTTTCAGTTACTTGGAACCTCTTGCAATTGCTTTGGATAAAGAGAAATGGTCACTTGTTCAGCTACTGATGTCTTCTTCATATTCTGGATTTGGCACTTCCAGCTTGAAACAAGTAAAGACTCTGCTTGATTTTCAATTGATATTGCTATATCATCTGCTCTTTTAATGTTGGTCGAATCTGTGGAAAGCTAAAGAACTGCTCCGTTCAGCAGTTTACTTAACAAGATACCCTTGTTCCTTTTGATAAAGGATGCACAAGAGATCGACCAACTAATAAGCTATCTCATCAACAAAGAGAACTCTGAGGGCGTCGTTCTGCTTGGCCACAGTACTGGCTGCCAGGTGATTGGTTATGCTCCCAAACACTTCTTTTTTCATGGTTCCAATAGAAAAAAACTATGAAAGAAACTCATTCTTCTCGCACATTGAAACAGGACATTGTGTATTATATGGGAACAAATGCCGCGTGCTCCCGAGCTGTCCGAGCCGCAATTTTGCAGGTAATATATCTAGATTATTTGACTTGTAGTTTTTTCTTCGTCTCTTAAAGCTACATTTTATCTTATGTGAAAGGCCTTGCGTTGGATCTTGTGTAGTCAGTGTGCTATATCTTCTGGATTTTAGTATAGGTTTTGATCATATTGCCTATTGCAATGTTAACTTAGGCACCGGTCAGCGATAGAGAGTACAAAGCAACACTTCCTGAAACACCAGCTATGATAGACTTGGCTGCAAACATGATTAAAGAAGGTCGAGCAGAGGAGCTTATGCCTAGAGAAGCTGACCCTTGTGCTCCAATCTCTGCTTATAGGTAAGTATATATTTCCTTGCGCCGTAATCGCAGGCTTGAAAAATGGAAAAGTTGTGTTTCGAACATGTCTGAATACGAAAACCAATCTTTTGCTTGGTTCCTGCAGATACCACTCCCTCTGCGCTTACATGGGGGATGACGATATGTTTAGTTCTGACCTTAGTGATGATCAGTTGAAAACTAGACTTGGGCATATGGCTAATACACCTTGTCAGGTAAAAACAAAACTAACCATCACCAACGTTTCCAGTCCTGGTGAACATAACTGCTTCTACTTGTGGCCATTTGGGCAGTGATTAGCTTCTTATATCTTCTATGTCCTTTGTTCTACACAGGTGATTTTCTCCATGGGTGATGAGTATGTACCAGATTACGTCGACAAAAAAGCACTGGTTAATAGGTGAGGCCTTTAAACTAAAAGTAACAATAAGAATCTAAAAACTTCTTACGTGTACAAGGATATCGCCTTTGTGTGTTCATTTGTTAGGACCTAAGTTAAAATAGGTATATATAGAGAACTATCGGTGCAAAGATGCAAACATTGGATCGAAATGATTGCACATGAACAGATAAATCAAAAAGATTTGATTTGATTTATGTGATTACAGATTAAGTAAAGCAATGGGAGGGGCAGAGAGAGTGGAGATAGAGCATGGGAATCACTCTCTCTCCAATAGAGTTCATGAAGCTGTTCAAGCCATTATTGGTTTTGTCAAAAGAGAAGGACCCAGTGGTTGGGATGATCCTTGGAGCTAAATCTGCTTTTCTCCATTTATGTGGATGAACGTTATCCGAATCTCAGTCTCATGAATTAACTTTACTTCTTCGCTGATTCATAACCATTTCTCCTTCTGATATATATACTTGGATCATGAAAAAAAAAAAGTCATTCTTGTTATATAATCCTCAAATTATTTTGTTGCTTTGTTTTCTTGTCTTTAATCAAAATTGTTTTCTTGTTATACAATCTCAATCTGTCTCGTTTCATAATTTTACAATTCATATGAACTTCTAGTAGATTTTATCGGAGAATTAACATCACAAGTCCCATATATGTGGTGAGATTTGTAATACACAAATAAAATGAAATCAAACTTGTCACCTCGCTGATTGAAGTTGGACACAGACATTCATGTGTCTTACAAGCAAATTAAAGAAGATGAAACAGTGAATCTACCAATATTATTAACTTGAAAAATCTGAATTAGTAGACAACAAAATGTAAAACGTAGATGATATAACAGAAAAAAAAAAAACAATTACCAACCTTTCACCAATAATCATGGAAACTCCCCAACTGTCACTAAAGAGTTGTTGCATCCACTTTTTGATATATCCATTTCCGAAAATAAAATTTCAAGGTACAATCAATAACCGGTGGCATTATGACCTATATTTCATCTTCAACTTCGATATGACGTATCCGTGGCATTATGATAACCGGTGTAACGACGGAGTTCATTATGGAAGAGATCCGGCAAAGATGCCGTGGAGAAACGACGAGATTGAGCATCAAGTACTCTGTGGATTTGATGCATCGTGTGTGAGATAAAGAGTAGACAGATGTTTAGTTTGGTTAGCGATTCTTTTGTTTGTTCTTGTGTAGACGTTTGATATGGTACTAGTGATTTTTTTCACTACATACATTGACTTGGGCTTGTGTCTGGTTTTGCTAATTTATTCATCACTTACTTACCTTATTAGAGTTTATGGTTT